AGCATGCCAAGGACAATGATGGCTCCTCGACGTTGTGTCTTCGAGATTTCCTTCTTTTGCACGCCGTATACTTGCCACAACTTCGAAATGACGACTTCAGATATGTGGCCTGCCTTCATCATGGTGCTCAATAACTGTTCTAGGCAAGTGAGCTCAGCAGGTGTTGCGCCAAAGGTCAAGCTGATCATATTCCGTGCAATGTAATTTGCAGCATCATTTGGACTGAACGAGTCCGGTGCTTCGAAGAAAAGCCCCTTGTAGCAGTCGATCAGGTGGGTTTGGACTCCCTTGCCTTCATCACTGTTACCTTTTGTCCAGATAAGTCGCAGCATTCGGCGAATCCCACTACGGGAAGTCTCAACCTTGTAGGCATCAAGTACGACGAAGAAGTCCATGGCTTCAATAGCCTCACTTTTGTTCCTTGACGATAAGAGCTGAGCAACTGTAGCGGAGGCCTCGTGAAGGACTTCAATGAAGCGGATGGCCTCGTTGTAATATTTTCTTGTTAACTGGAGTCGTGTGAGCAGTTCTGATGTTGCTGCCTGTTCCGCGGCATGTTTGATTGCTGCTGCTTTCTCTTCCTCAGTCAGACGTGTTGTTTTGGCTGGAGACTCTTCTGGCAACTGAGTTGCATCATCCAATAATACACTATCAACATGGGATGCATCACCACCTTCAAAGCCCTGTGTTTCAGGGGGTCTCAGCGCATTCAGCTCAGCATCTACTCCATCGAGCCGTGCTGCCCACTCTTTAAGTGAAAGCTGCCCTCCATGCATGACACCGAATGGATGGGTTGAGACCAATTTGGCGAGTAGTTTAATAGCGTTCCGTCGTACATTGCTGCTTTTGTCTTCCAGACTTCTCGCCGCCAGCTCTGCAACGGCATGCCGTCTTTTCGGAAATTTTTGCTCCAAATCGCAAATTCTCATATATACCTGAATGGCCCGGCATCTGCAGTAAGGATTAATGTCAAGAAAGCGTTCCTCTAGAACGTCGAAGAAAGCGTTTATCTGGGTTTTGTAATTATCGCCCCGTTCTTCTTGCCGACTGAGGTCGGATATCAGGTTTCCGCAGACTTCAATCACTGCGCATCTCAAGGTGTAGGCCTACATAGTAACATGAAAGTGTTAGAAAATTAGCGTCCTCGTCGGATTGATGAGAGGCCGAACCTCGCTGTCTAGCTGTTTAGCTAAGAGAGTCATCTGCTTGATGATCAACCGAGGTGCTAGCTCTGAGAGTTTAATGATGAAAGAGGAGACAGATTTCGGTCCGCGGGTGTCATTGGAATTGAACTCTTTGTTCCCAAGCTCCCTAGCTTCCGTCAGCAAATGCACAAGATGGGCAAGACAGCAAAACATCTACTTCAATATCTCATCCGAGAGCTGAGGGTAGTCATATTGTTCCGCGAGAATGTGCAAGAATTCTGCCATCGGTTCGGACAAGTGCTCAAAATATGTTAGGCTTTGTACAATAGATGTCTGGGCCCCTAGACGTTCGTATTAGCGGTAGCTATGAGCTTCAAGTCGAAAAGCCCACCAAATGCATGTCCGTGGTGTTTCACCGCGATGCAGAGGACCTTGAAGGCATGCATCCGAATGCTCATGCTCTTAACGCGCTGCTCACTCTCCAGGATCAGATAGATTGAGCGGGTGAACAGGTTGATGAACGTATCGCGGTCTGAAGTTGTCAAGAAAATCCTGCCCAGTTTCAGTTTCATCACTTTGCACATGGTTTCCATTGCAGCTTGAATCTGTGCTGTCCAATCCCAATTTCCATCCTTGGTATTGGCCTTAGATTTGGTAGATTTGCCTGCGCCTCTCCTGGCAGGAGCAGCCTCCGTTGGCTTTTCAGCGGCTTTGAGCTCAACAGCCGAAAAAGCCCACTGCAGTAGGAACCCGTACATCTCCAATAAGGTTTTATGCTGCTGGATTGCGTCCTGCTCGTCAGATTCGAGATCGCCATGGATAATATCTGCTTCTACCGAGAGGCCGGAAACGACAAGATCGAGGAGTTTGCTTAGAGTTCGGGTGGGGAAAAAGACGGAGTATCTATGGGAATATAAAGGATCAGGTCCAGACCCATGGGCAATGACAACTTTGAAATGGGGAGGGAAGGTGTTGGCTCGGTCGTTCAGGACTTACTTCAATAGGAATTGCAATGAATCATAGAAAGATCCCCTAGCGAGACCTTCCGGATGCTCAGCAATGGCATCCACGATCGGATTAAGAACATTATCGATAACGACGGGCGACAATTGATCTGGGTCGGTTTCGCAGTCGAGCAGGTCGGGATCGGCATCGAGCGTAGGCACGGAGGCGGGATCGCTCAAATAAAATTTAAGCGAGTCATTAATGTCGAACTGAATGCGATATTCCATATTGAGTGACAAGCGAGGGAGGTCCTCGCAGGACACGCGACTTCAGTGGACAAAAGAGGGCAAGGTGAATGAGATATCCTTATTGCGAAGAATGGTGATACTTCAGGTGGGGAAATGGAAGGACAGAGAGGGGGGGGAGGGGAAAGAGGAAAGGCGAGCCCGAGAAACCAGGCGGCGACAGGCGGGCGTGAACCCGTAGTTTGTTTGTATTTTTCCCAGTTGGGGGTGTTGATAAGGGCACGGGCACACACTGCACTGCGCCCTGTCGGAGTACTCGATAAGTTACAATATCAGGTTGAATGGGGCCTTCCAACGCGATGAGTTACCGGTGACACGTACCATTTGTGCCTCTTTGGGTAGGCGGTATGGTACGATCGGGACACCGGGCACACTTCTCCCGTTACAAGTACGTATATACAAACAACTCACCATACCGGAACGGGTATTTATTCTGTACCGCTGAGACGGTGGATTGAGCAGCCCTGATGGAGCATCTCGGACCAAACCCTCCCCCCCCCCGATCTCTGACTACTGGTAAGTACAGTACTAATCCGCGACGAAACATAGATCAATCCTCAACACGAGAAGCTGTGTGCTCTTTCGTCATCACTTATCTCTTTCCCGGAGTTGAACCTGCTATCCCGACTAAGCCTTGGCCCAGACTTCGCAGTCGCGCCAACTATTGCCGCGCGCGCTTTGGTGCAATGTCCGCCTTACACGCAGCGCCGACTGAATTTTTTGGTGTTCAGCGGCCAGAACCATCTGGCTCAGTCTACGTTTATGAACACCGGGATAGGATCGTGACAAATAGCGAGTCGTCCCTGGAGAATATGCCAGATGAGAATGGCTTGGAAGAATTTGACCCCCATGATGAGGAAGACGTTGACGATTCCGTAAAAGAGGATATGAAGCGATTGGAAGACACATTCCCAGGCATATCTGATCGCTTTCGGCTGGTCAATCGAATAGGTGAAGGTATGGTGTGAATTAACTGGCTATCCTACGATGTTTCCGGTGGTGTCTGAGAACCCTCTGACTCGGTACGAACCTCAACTAGGGACGTTTTCGACTGTCTACAAAGCGGAGGATCTTCTTTACGACCACTATCAAAATGACTGGGACACATTCCAGCACATCCGAGATGACAACTTGACCAACCTTCCAACGAAGCGACGCCGGGTCGAAGGAGAAAGCAATCGCATATTCTCTGTGAAGCGACGAAGACCGCGATACGTTGCTTTGAAGAAGATTTATGTCACAAGCAGTCCGCTACGCATTCAGAACGAACTTGAATTACTGCATGATCTTCGGGGTTGCCGTTCAGTATGTCCATTAATCACTGCGTTCCGCTATCAGGATCAAGTCGTAGCAGTCTTGCCCTTCTTTCCGCACACCGATTTCCGTATCCAATATCGTACATTCATGGTTGCCGACATGCGACATTACTTCCGATCCCTGTTCACCGCTTTACATTCAGTCCACAAGCATAACATTCTCCATCGTGACATAAAGCCGACGTAAGAACTTGCGTTCCGATGCCCAGCCCCATTGCCTTGGACCTTTCGGTGCTTTGATAAGGTACTGATCATCACGTTTTCAGTAACTTTCTTTACAATCCTGAACTCCGCGAGGGTGTACTAGTGGACTTCGGTCTTGCAGAAGTAAGTACAGGCGCCCTCACAGTCGCCCATGGCACGTGCTTCAATTGCTGATGCACTTTCGCAGCGCGAGGGCTCGGAGTACACTGGTACCTGCTTGTGTGCGAATTCTAGCCAGATACGTCGCAGTCGATTCTTTCAGAGCTATTACTATACTAATTGCGCCTCGTCTCTGAATAATACATCTGTGGGGTACCCAAAGAACGACTCCCGGCCTTCGAGGCGCGCCAATCGAGCAGGAACCAGGGGTTTCCGCGCACCCGAAGTTCTTTTCAAATGCACTTCACAAACTACCAAAATTGATATGTGGTCAGCTGGCGTCATTCTTTTGACGTTACTCGGTCGTCGATTTCCGTTTTTCAACTCAGCTGATGATGTCGACGCTATGATCGAGATGGCAAGCATTTTTGGCACACGCCGCATGAAAATTGCGGCAGCCATGCATGGGCAGATTTTCGAAACCAACATCCCAACTATAGGAGAAAAGGGTTATAGCTGGGAGAAGCTGGTGAAATGGGCGAGTTGCGTGGAGGAGCTGACTGAGAGCGAAAAACAAGCCACCCGTCTCTTGGCTGGACTCATGGAGCTGGACCCTAACAAGCGTTTCAGTGCTAAAGAGGCCTTGCAACACGAGTTTTTCACTGATCCCATAGATCACGACGTGGAGTGGGGTGGAAATCCGGATGATAGCGGAGATACCGGCGAGGAGGGTTATAGGGAGGATGATGAGGCAGATGATGCAGCAGATGAGGTAGCAATGATATGATATCCTCCAAGGGGGGAGGGGCAGATGTACGGTAATGGCAATGAATTTTCATGAAGCACCCCCGCTCCACCACAAAGAGATCACCAGCTACCGGGCCACTCAGATTTCCCATAAACCTTTCGAGTCCGTAATCAGAATCAGAATGAGCAATTCGGGGGTAAACAGGAATGACAAGAGGCGAAAACAACCCCACGACTCGTGACAATTAACTCCGGACAACGCTTAACGCTTAAAAGAGTTCGAGGTCTGAAGCAAACGATCTCAAGGGTGGTAGGGTGTCTACTTGCCCACAAGTGACGAGTAAGGGGAAGTCATGAGAATAAGTGCCAAGCTACTTTGAATCTAGGTTTCAGCGAAGCATACGTAAGTCGATACTCGGCGAGGATTCTCGTCGCTTTCAGTCAGCTTCTCCGAAATCGACATGCCCAGTCTGTTCTGCATGCTGTGTAGCGCCTCTTTCGCCCACAAAAGTTCTACCGCACGTATTGCAGCGCAGACGAAACCCGGCAGTATCCGTGTAATAATGCCGCTCTTGCAAAACCTTGCACAAGGCCAGGGACTTTTTCAGGACCAAAGGGTCGTTGGCGTCAAAAACTTTGGTATCGAAATCGGCGGGGACGTCTGCATGGGTATACGGCGGACTTGAAGGCGACAGGGCAATAGTATCGTAGTGAATGCCCGAATAGACCACGATGCACCGCATTGAGGGGCCCTCGTTAAACGAATCGACCCGCAGGGTTTGCACATCAATCGAGCAAATCTCAATGTCAAAATGTTTACTCAATATGCTGAGCTCGATGCCCCCGCCCCAAGAGTCCTCATTCTGGATCCATTGACAGTAGTCGTCCGGCGTTTTTTCCAGCACCGCCTCGGTATATAGGTCCGGGTTTGCCTGTATAGTCTGCGCAACAACAGATCGTAACTCAGTCATCACATCCACCCCAGCCATGGTCGCGCTACTGATGGCGCGGAATAGGCACGAGTTATCGTCAGGCATGATCCGGAGGACGAAGGTACCATGATGTTCCGGTGATGGAATCTCCGGCGGGTCATCGGAGCCCTCATTCGGAGTCTTGTCAGCGAGCAGCCCGTTCAACGGTTGTTGCCGATTAGTAGTAGTCTCGTGTTGATCGCGGCTCAGGTCAGAGGGTAGGCTGCCTTCTTTGCTCGTGACAATTAACTGTTCCCCATTCAGAGTCATCCCCAGGTCGGATAGTTTCTGGTTAGGTGGGAAGCCCTCTAACGAAAGAGGCTTGATTTGTGGATACCCATATTTCACGTCGTAGTCTGATAGTCCGGTTGACTCTGTGATTTGTCTGCGGAGTACATCGACATTTGCTTCGTCATCTAGAGAAACGGTCGACTGTCCAGTCGGACCGCGTATTCGGATTCTCATGGTGGCTCGAAGCGAAGACAGAAGAACAAGTATGTGTATATCTAGATGGCATTTGACCACTAGCTGGGCAAAGTAGTCTTGTAGCACTAGTCTGAGTTGATCAGATGTTGCTATGAGTTTTATGGATAAGCATTTATATAAGTAGGTTGAGGTAGGTCAGGTAATTTATCCCTGGTTGACTGGAAGGTGGGGCATGGCTGGCGGGTGCGCATCTGCTGAAGTCGCTGGCGGCAAGTTGCACGATCAAACTCGGCCCTAGGGTTTTTTTCCTATCACTTGAGCGCTAGTCAATAGTATACTTGATTTCGATTCAACCGCAAAGCTTTCTTGCTGGGCGTATGCAGGAGGACCTGGGCAATTTCAAGAGGAGATGCCAGCCATGAAGCCTGAACTTCCAGCTACCAATTAAGCAGCGCGGAGGCTTGGAGCCAAAATTGTGCAGCTAAATCCTAAACTGTATCAGTACTCTTATTTGGTTTGAGAGGTAGACTACAGTACAACCAGCGGGAGGCAAGGATACAAGATAATCTATTAACCGATCGGATTTCCCCCAAGATCTCCTAGAGGGCAGGATATATCGCTCGCTGGCTATGTGTTTTGATCAGTTTGCATACTTGTGAAACGGTATCTTACTATAGGGGACAGTGTCGTTCTATCTTTCACAGGTGTATTACAGTATTTAAGCTGTATGATACACATTGGCTGACTCAGCATAGTTGGTGAATGAATCTCGCCCTTCCTGCTTCTTTCTCTCCTTGTTCTATGATCGCTTCCTCTTCATATCACCCTCATTTGCTGAATCCAAAAAAACCCCTTTTTTCACGCTGGTGGTAGTATATTCCATTCGGCTTGGTCCTGACTTGCGGTTCTTCTCTCCGTGGCCTCGGCTATCTCGATAGATGGAGCCAAACATCTCCGAGCCGTCGCAAGCGCAACCTGCTGCTGAGGAGCCGGTGAAGTCCATCGAAGGCGATGGCAAACGCGATGGCTCGGTCGCAACTAGCACTGTTTCTGACGAACAATTGAGATCTATGATGGATGTTGTCATGGCGATTTATGAATTCAGAGAAGAGGAGTGAGTCCGGTCTTCTTGTTACAGCTTCATTCCACCATTTGTGCGCTGTGTATCGCATATTATCCCCCAGCATTTCAGCTAGCTAACTGACTAATTCACAATCAACGCAGTGGCCATGATCCGTCCAAGTTGTTCCAACGCAGCGTCAATAAACGCCTTGTTCCTGACTATTATGACATTATTAAGGAGCCGATGGCACTCAGCATTCTGAAGCAGAAGATCAACAAACGTGAATATAAGGAATTCGCTGACTTTGTGCGCGACTGCGCACTGGTATGTAGTACTATTGTTATCTTGTGATTCATGCATCAATCCTGTGCCTCTTCCACGAGGAGTAATGTTTGGCGGGAACTGACATGGCTTTGGCACTAGATCCCCCACAATGCACAGACTTATAACCGCCCTAAGTCTCAGGCTTACGAAGATGCCCTCGTCATCAAGGATGTCTTCGTTGCCGAGTTTGAGAAGTTGGTGAAACAAGGCATTATTTCTGCAGAGGATGCCGAACTCCCCGACCTCGGGGAGATACCTGAAGCAGACCCTCTCCCTGAAGAGGATGAGGAGGAAGATGATGACGATGACGACGACGACGAGGAAGAGGATTCTGACGAAGAAAGTCGGCGCAAAAAGAAAAGGGGACCTCGTGCAGGCAGCAAACGTGATACGGGGAAAGATGATGGCCAAAAGTCCAATGAGCCAGAAGTAAGGAAGAAGAGAGGCAGACCACCGCGTGTCGATACCCCTATGGAGGCAAGGATCAAAGCTGTTCTAAAGGGCATCCGAAAGCTAAAAGGGCCTAACAATCAACTCAAAGTGCGACACTTCGAACGCTTACCCGACAAGGCCATGTATCCGGATTATTATGTTGAAACCAAGGAACCGATTGCCATCGATATCATCAAGCGCAAGTCGAAAAGAAAGAAATACAATTCGGTAGACCATTTCATGAGAGACATGGAACTCATGTTCAACAACGCGAAGGCCTATAATCAACCTGACAGTCAGATTTACAAGGATGCCGTTGATTTGCAATTGGAAGCACGAAAGCTTGCCGACCTTGAGAAAAAGAAGCCAGACAGCGAGTACCTGATGGAGGATGGACGTCTGCCGTTGCCGGAAGGGATTCTTCACAAGTCGGAATTATGGAGGGTCGGCGATTGGGTCCATATCCAGAACCTTAATGACGTGACGAAGCCTATTGTGGCGCAAATATATCGCACATGGCAGGATTCAGAGGGAGAGAAATGGGTCAATGCTTGTTGGTACTATCGCCCCGAACAAACGGTCCATCATGTGGAGAAGCACTTCTACCCCAACGAGGTGGTGAAAACAGGACAATACCGCGATCATCGGGTTGAAGAGATTGTCGATAGATGCTTTGTCATGTTCTTCACCCGTTACAATCGCGGACGGCCTCGAGGCCTACCTCCCAACAAAGATGTCTACGTTTGCGAAGCCCGCTACAATGAAGAGAAGCATAAACTGAACAAGATCAAGACTTGGGCTAGTTGTCTCCCTGATGAGGTCAGGGAAAAGGACTACGAGATGGACTTGTTCGAAGCTCCCCGACGGATCAAAAAGATCCCAAGCCCCATCAAACACTTGCTCAGGATTGATGCAACGGAAACCGATGATCTTCCAAAGCCAACATGGGGAGCTGAGAATGCACCGCCTGTTGTTGGCGCGGTTCATCGCCGCCCGCGTGATGAGAACGTAGGGCCCCTCCAAACATCTCACTTGGCGTCAATTGTGAGGGGAAAAACTACTGACCCTATTATCTTGATCCTAGGAATCACCACCTCCGGAGCCCACGCCTTCTCCACCCCCGTCATTACCTCAGCCAGCTTTGCCCTCGGCTCCACTTCGGCAGTCATCGATTAGCCAAATCCCTCCACGGTCCAGTGTAGAGAATCAAGGCACCGGTGCCGCGGCGAGCGCATTGCCTGCTACGGCTCGCTCGCCAGCTGTAGCCATACCTCCAACTCAGAGCTCGCCAGCCCCGGGCGCTCCGATGGCTTTTTCTCAGCCCCAAATTCCTCCGACTCAGCCTTCTCAGCATGGGTTACCGAGAAGCTCCAGCGGGTTCGTGCCGCAGACCCCACACCCTAGCGCCTACCAAGCTCCGGCTGTGTCCCATCATTTCTCGGCCGCCCAGTCAACCCCTTACATGCCGTATCAAGGAAACCGTCTACATGGATCTACGATGACAACCTTTAATCCTAATGCACCTCGTCCCATCGAAGTCTTCCATCTGAGTGATACTGCAAACGCCGCCATACCCGCAAATGTTCGCGAACAGTTCCACTGTGATGACCAAGGTCATATCCTCTTCTTCTCGACCCCACCTCTAGACATCATTTCATCCTATCAGCAGAAACTGGGACATTCTCTCAAGTATCTGGCCGCAAAGGAGGAGCGGCGCAGACTAGTGGAGACCAAGAAACGCAAAGGGACGCAGGATCAAGCGGGACAGGCATTAATTGTCAAGCGCCCCCGAGCAGATGAGAAAGTTGCTCTTGAAACTCAAGTGGAGATGCTCACAGTCAAGGCTTGGGACACCATGACAAGTCAAATTGTGGCAGGCACGGACAAGCTCTATGAAATTGTGTATCAAAATGAAGGAGAAAGTGTTAGGCGAGCAGATATCAAGGCACACGAACAGCGGAGAATAGCCGATCGAGTCTCGCACGAGAAGACAGCGCATATCCAATCTCACTCACAGAACGCACTGTTTGTTAGCCTTAAAGGTAGTGCCATGTATATGTCTGACGTTGACACGAAAAGCTGACGAAAAGAAACGCTCCCTTATGAGCCACTGTTGACTACTCGGCATACATTCGGAATGGTGGACCGAAAACAAACCAAAGTGTTCTTGTCGAGAAAATTGTGGCTAAATAGGTGAATTTCTGAATTGGGCGTTGATAAGTATTATGAGCTATTGATGTATACGTTCATAAGTCTAATTAATTATGACCAGGGTCGTCATGGTCATGCTTACCTCGTCCCAAATAGTGATTATATAGTAAAATTATGTCTGCTTCTTCCACACCCATCCCCACCCCACTTTGCTACATCAACAACTCATGGCATCTCGACAGAACCAATTCCACTGGAGAAACCAGCAGAAGGGACAGACAGATGTAGTACATTTATTGATCACCCACATTTACATACTTAAGTGGTCGATATATCAGCATTGGATTCGCAAGCAAAGGAACAAACGAGAAGAATTATCAAAATGATAATAGAAAACACAAACCTATAAATATGGCAAACGAGCTAGGAGCGTAACCCCCAACACCATATTGACTGTTGGCTGCAGGCTAGTAGACTAGAATTAGAAGACAAGCACAGATCGTGAGAGACAAGCATGCTTCGAAGAGGAAAATGATATATGCCAGTAGAATGTACACTAGGTGAAGAGAATAATGATAATGCTGCTGCCCCGAAAGATCACCCAATGAACCTTGTGCATATTGCATTTTGTCGGAATTTAGAAGTGCCATGTAATGTAGTGATATGGCGTAATGAACAATGGGAGAGACCAAAAGGCCAGGATAGAGAAGAATGATAGGGGGAAAGATCAAGCGGGGAGTCACAAGCAGAATTGGCAACAACCTGGCCTCGTTACAAAACATCCCTTGTCTAACAGATCATATAATGCGGCGCAATGGCGAATCTTAGAGGCAGATGCAGTATAACTCCAGAAAAAGTTCAACACTTCTATGAAAAATTCCCTCCAACATTTCTGTGTAGTCTTGAAACACGTCATAAATGGACCGGGGCATGAACTGGTACCCACCTGTGATGCTAGCTCGTTCTTCTGTGCGAAAGGGCTTGCTGAATTCAGGCTTCCAAATACAAGTTCGATTCCATTCTTTCCACGGAAGGATTGATGGGGCATAGAATCGATTATTAGGCATCGGCAGTAGATTGGACTGCGATAATGTTTCAGCGAGTTAAGGCTGGAACTCTGGGTTGTTCGTGGAAGTCGGCTCATCGTCATTTGAATCCGCCTTGTGAGAATCCCAAGAACTGCTGTTTCGCTTGTTGTTCTCTTCTTCTTCCATGGAGAAAACCAAGTCACTTTGCTCTTCGTCAATCTTGCTGGTACTGACCGGCGATGAGATGGTACGATCCAGACGGCTGCTAGGGCCTGCAGATGCCGAATGGCGAGGGGGACCGGGGTGTAGAGACATGCCACTGAGCTGTTGAGAGATCATGGACATCGACGGTTGGCGAGGGGCACTCGACACGAACGGAGAGATGTCTCCAGAGATCTGCCGGCTGCCGATTGGGCCCAGGCTCGGGCTGGTGCCTAGATTCAACGAAGACTCCCGCAAAGGTGAGCCAATGTGTGTCAGAGACGCACTACCATGGGCGTCTTCCTCTCGCTTCTGCCGCTGCTTGGCAAACAAAGCCCCGAATCGGGATGGGCTGGAAGCCAAGGGAGAGCCCACTTTGGAAAAACTGGTGCCAGTCATGCCCAGTCCGCTGAGCTCGCGATGGCTCGAACTCAGATCATGATCGGTGCGCGAGAGGCGCCGAAGTCGCTCCTGCGGGGTAAGAACATCGTCGTGTAAGTTGATCGGCAGATAGTCTTCTTCCATTGGAAAATTGCTATCGTCCCAGTCATCCAGAGCGGTGGGTCGTGGCACACTTGCCGAGAGCATTCGTGTCTTGATGGGGCGTTGGGAATGAAGGAAGCGGGGACCCATTCCATCTTCTGGTAGGGTAGGGGGCGATGACCCAATGAAAGATGATTTCCTGAGATCGGATCCGTAAGCCGTGTCCCGAAGGGTTCGAAGGGCATCTGATGGTGCGCCCATTCGTTGTGCTGGAGGCGACAGTTCTAACCCGAATTTCGAAGGCATGGAAGCCGCAACCGGGCCATACCGAGCCGCGTGCGAAATGCCTTGGCTGTCAAACGACGCGGGAAGGGGAGCATCCAGTGCAGTCAGATGGCGGTGATTTGGTGACATGGGATATCGTACATCGTCGACAGGCGACCCGTACTTGGAATTAGTGTCGGATGTCAGTCCAGTATCGATAGTAGGAATCGCATCATAGGGCAACGGTTGCGGTGGTGGTGACTGGGGCGGAAGCTGAGGGGCATATCTTGGATCATGGCCGTTCATCCGCTGCTGCGACAAAACAGAGTTGGTCAAGGCAGAATCCTGATTCACGTAGGCTTGCGGATTAACACGACCACCCAAATTTAGGTGACCACCACCCAGTCCCATTCCTGGGTTGGGGCGGTTGACACGTCGGCCGTCGGGCAGAATATGCGCCAGCGCACACTTCGCTCCGAATTTGCAGTTACCCTATATCCAAAGCACAAGCTGTCAGCCGTGGGAGGAAATTCTGGAACACACAAGGCTCATGATAGGCGGCCTAGCTATCTAATACCTTGGTGAAATATTTACAAGGCGCATAGTCTATTGCTGCATCAGTGGAGTGAAGGAAGGGACATGCAGGCCCGGCCTGGCAAGCACCCTGGCGGAAGAATTTGCAAGGCACATGCTTGGTATCTGAGTAGGGGCAGTTGTAAAAGCATTAGCGATTGATCATCCATGGGGGGGAAGTGTAATGAAATTGATGACAGAGAAGCACAAGTGAAAGGCAACAAGCCGAATGCAATGCCCTCAATTATGCCGTATATGAAGAAGTGCGGGGAGGCAAAGGGAGCAGATCGGTTTGCGGGGATGGGAACGAGACATATATGACTTACTGCTTTGATTGGGAGGACTGCGGGCAGCCATGTCGAAGCCGGAGGGATTGCGGGAATGACCGTTCTGGAGTGATTGAGGACCGGAGGGGACCGGGAGAGGCGCGCGACCTTTCATGCCACTCAAAAAGTAATTTGAGGTGCGAGTCGAAGAGTGGGAAACCGGAACGACGGCGGCGGTGAAAGAAGGACAGATAGAGGACGGAGAGGGGGCGAAGGTGGAGGAGGAAGCGGTGGTGGTAGGGTGAATTGGAGTGGTGGTTGTGGTGGTGGTGTTGGTGGTGTTGGAAGGAGGGGAAGAAGGTTGAATAGGCGGAGAAGGGCTGCGGGATGCCGACAGCTGCATCGCCAAGATGGGCAAAGGTGATGGCAGCGCAGCAACACACGCAAGGAGATCCGAAAAACCGCCGGAGGATTATCGGACAAAGATAGGAAGTTGGTGAGGGAAGGGCGGTGGAAATGACTAGGGAAGGAAGGAAAAAACAACTAGGTTGAACGGTCCTACAGTACTCGCTCGTACTTCAGTCTGAGCGAGCGGATGAAGTCCATCCTCGGGATGATCAAAGGAGGGGGAAATCCGTGGGCGGTGAGCCGCCGAAAAAAAAAAAAAAAAAAAGGTGAAATTGAAAAAACTAAGTAAAAAGTAACTACTAGATAGAGAGTACTTCGTAGACTACTAGTCTTGATGACTCGTACAGCATGTATGTACAGTATGGTATACTTCATACAGTACAAGAAAAAGGGAAACCCTTAGAAAAGCGGGCAAATGAATCTACCAGACACAATGCCAGATTGGACTTAATACTGTACCAGTACCATATAATAACTATGTATCACGAGAATCTCCTCTTCCTTTTCCTCCTCCTCCTCCTCCTCCTCCTCCTCTTTCTCTTCTTCTTCTTAATGTATGCAAGTTCTCCTTAAGTAGCCTGGCCTATACTTGCCTGTCGGTGCTACAGACAGAATACAGTCAAGAATCCAACATTTTCAGATGACTTCAATATATTATACTGACGAATGAACGTCCTTCAGAATTAGCGGAGACTCAGACTTACAAGGTACTGTACATATCAAGTTATCGAAAAACAAAACGATACTGATAAAGTGCAGTATTAAACTGCCACGAACCCGTAAGTCAGTTTGCACACATGTGCTTTCTCAAGACCAGGGATCGACCGCCGCCCTTCCACCCTGCCTCTTCACTGACTTTCTTCACGAGCTCGAGTGATCAAGTGATCGGCGTAACGGGGGCCCTTCTAATCCTAGAGATTCCTGCGTAGTCACCAATTAGAACCCTCAAGGCTGGAAATGAGACCATGATCCCCCATACCCAGAGCTCTTCCCAAGCTGTGTCGCCTGGCAACGCATCCAAGCACCTTCGCCATAGGTCACGGCAGATCCGAGCACGACTGCTAGCGTGCTTTTTCCAGTGCTTCCAATCTTCTTCGGCACGTGCTCTTGTCATATGCACGGGCACGGGCATCGAAGCATTCCCCTCCATTGTGAGCCAGATTGTCCGGGTTGTTGCTTGATCTCGACCAAGTCGATCCACATCTCGACAAAGCTCAGACAGTAAAGGTTTCGCATGGAGGGCTGCGAGCTCCATGCGTACCTTTTTCTTGTGGATCTGAAGACTGGAAAGCTTGCCCTGAGCTTTCTCAATGTGCTCATCCAGGGTTACGAAGGTTTCCGATGTGACCTCGTTGGGAGCTTCTTGTAAAGCGTGATACACGACTTGTTTTCCTATAGATGAAGAGAGCCCTCAAGTTCAGTGCTGTTCAAAACTCATCGACACGAGATCAAGATGATCTACACTTACCCGCTGTCTGTCCTCCAATCTGCTTGTCGTGCCACAAGTCTCGTAATGCTCTGGCGGCATACGCTGTGGAAGATGCCATGGCGCGAGAAATGAGCTCAACTACACCCAACAGAATCTAGTTTAGGACTTACCCTTGGTAACCGCTGTGTGTAGGTTGGCTGATATCTCGATAGCCTGCTTCATTTCAGCAGGAGCAAGTCTGGCCACTTCGGGATTAGTGTTCCCATCTACTAACATACCGAATACGGGCGACTGTGTCCATGAATCACAAGTAACAGTTAGCTGTTACTTTGCAAAGCGATAAGAGCAGATGTGTACTGGGAATGACTGGCCGTACTTATGTCTTTCTAGACAATTTGTCAAAGGCCGAGGGAGAAACAAGATACTGAGGCTGGGGTGAATACGCACGAAGGTAATCAAGAATGACCTCAGCGCCGTCGTTAGTAGCTCCTCCCACGAAAGATATTAGCCACCCGTGCCTCTCGCACGATGATCATTTTCTCACCTTCGCGGCGAATAGTCTTAGGACAATTTGCTTTGTTCTGCGTCATGACTCTGGTGCACCGGTTGAGCTGCCGATGCAGCATGGCACACACCGAGCTGGGGGGGGAGGGAAGAGGAGAGAGAGTTACAGATTTCCCGGCGGCAGAAAGAGGATTAAATACAATTGGACCGACGTGTCACGTGTTTTTAGAGCGAAGATGACTTGCATTCAGCACCCACCATAAACGATTGCCTTCCTTCTCCAGGGGAAGTGAAGGGAGACACAAGAAGCTCGGAACATTGTAGAGGGCAACAGAATGGTCACTTCAGAGCAAGAAGGAGATTGCCACACTCTTCTCATACATAATTATGCCCGGTAGGAAAATAGTTCATTTTACTGCGGTGTTCTTGACACCCCTGAGAAAAACCTATGAAGTGCAAGAAACATAACCATCCCAAAGAAACATTGAATGTTCAGGTTTCAAACTTAAGTCGTAAGCTGCCTCTTCATGACCCTCAATTTCAAGCTACTCGACCCTGGCCACATGGCTCGAGGCAAGGAGAGATGGTATCGCGCTTCATAAGACTTCCCAGATACAGCACAAGCGAATAAATATCACGAGATAGATGGCGTCGGGGTATCACATGACAATCTAGACAATGTTAGCTGCTATCATGACGAGTATGCGGCTGCAACAAAGTAGGCACATACGCAATCACTGTCTTTCTGTACAGCTGGAACCCCCATTTCCTCAAACGTCTTGGGGCCTTTACCCGGAAGACCAGATTGCGACTTGGCTGGCGTTGTTGCTGGAGGTTTCTGGCCGGCAGCGCTTGTCGTCGGTGGGGCGGGCTTAGGGGTGGACGCGGCTGAGGAGGGTTTGGGTGTGGATGAAGATGGCGGAGGCTTAGACATGGATTGAGCATTCGAAGACGGCATAGACTCCGTCCGTGGGGGGAATGACGTGGTTGAAGGCGAAGCAGCTGGTCGAGGGGAGCTCACCGGACCAACTTGCGTATGAGAGGCAGGGCCTCTTACAGGTCTGCGGTCAGAAGGCATGTTGTCAAGCCGCTGAGGGCGTCTCCAAGCGTCCGCGTTGGACTTTTCGAGCGGTGCCGAGTAGCCAATATCAAGCTTAGGAGTTGTAGGTGCTGGGCTTGTGGGACTGGCAGTGGAGGGGGTACTGGGCCCTGGGGTCCGGTAGCCCATAGGGCCTGGTCCATAAGACGCCGCGCGGTTGTAGGTGGGAGCGGTATTGCGGATGTTGGGATTGATCCCAAACGCGGAACTAGGACGTGGGTCAGGCATGCCATATCCGGGTGGATATACAGGTCGGGCCCGGGACGAAGGCCTGTCGGGATAGGGAGCAGCGGCCAATGGATTGTCTGAGAGAGTCATTCGGGACGGATCAGGCATTTCGATGTTCTCAGGGGTAGGTTTCATCGGACCCCCTCGTTGACCAGATCCATAACGCGACTTGATCCGAGCGATTGCTACTTGCTCGTGATCCTTTCTGGACAAAGTCTTGGAGCGAGAAATGCTATCGATGCGGCCTGTCGCATCTTTGTTTCCGTTGGCGGCTGCTTTGGCATACCAGCTTCTAGCTTCTTTGATGTCCACGGGAACAAAGATTCCGACCTCGTAGAAGTATCCCAAGGCAAATTCGGCAGTAGGGAATCCGCTTTGAGCGGCACGTTGAGCGTAGGTGAATGCCAACTCGTCATTCTTGTCGAAGACACCTTCGTGACCACAAAGGAACCATTTGCTAATTGCCATCTCTGCTTCCGGTTCCCCTTGTCGTGCAGCCAATGCGTTATAATGCAGAGACAAGGCGGGGTTGAAGTCGCAGCCGAGTTGGCACAGCTCATAGGCCGCACCCATCTTGACCTGTGCCTTTGCGAAGCCGTGATAGGCAGCCTTTTCGATGTTGACACGGGAGGCATTGAGATCAAGAGGAAGGTAGCTCTCCGGAACATTGACCTGCGGTAACTCTCGCGCTAGCAGCATGCCATAGACCTGGGCATGAAGAGGTTAGCTTCCCAGCCGCAGAATTGATGGGTGAATCCGGACGAACATAGGCTCCCTGAGGGGCATTCTCATCGCAGGACTGCGCTGCAAGGCTAATGTATTCAAGCCCCATCTGATAGTCCTGACGCTGACCATGCTGGCCTAGTAGGATCATCATTCCCAAGCGCTACCGTTGTATATATCATTAGCGCGGGGTACGAGCCGGTCTGATAACGCGGGGAGACATACGTAGAAGGAAGCAGAGTCTGTAAGAGCAACACCCTTCTCATAATGCCTGATGGCTTTCTCGGGCTCTCCAGAGCTTTCAAATTGCATGCCAATCCGGTACTCGGCTCTGGCATATCCTTTGTCCGCGGCTCTCGAGTAGGATCGGAAAGCTTCCTTCTTATCGACGCGATATCCAAATTTCCCGAACTCGAGCCACATGCCCTTGATAAACTCAGCCTTGGGATGATGTTGTTCTGCGAGGAAGTTCACAATGTTCATTGCGTCGAGTTTGAGTTGACGCTCTACCGGGGGGGTTTGTGGTCGCGGAGGCTGGATCAAAGACAGACGTGCCTCGTTCTGCATGGCAACCTCGACGAAAGCGAGCGCGTCTTGAGCCCAGGCCAGCTGCATCTCCGGATCATTAGAGGAGAGCACCGCCATACGTGCTCTTTCCAGGTTGGCTTCCCGCTGCTCATCGGTTGGAGGGACGTTTGGCGGGGGATTTCGCAGAACAGGAAAGGGAGAGACGTTGGGAGTATCCATGGCATCGTGAGCCGTATCCTGCTGCTCGTACTGGGAGGCAGGTTCGTAGGCTGATGGGTAAGGCTGGTCTTGTGAGAAGGCGGACGAAGTGCGCTCGGGGAAGCGAGAGCGGTCATACTGCACTGGAGCGTGCTGGTTGTGGTGGGGGTGTCGAGCTTCGTGCTCAAGATGAGCTATGTTGTCTTGCATATTCTCCGGTACCTCGGGCATGACTCTACTAGAACAAGGATATGATAGGATCGATTAGCAACACAACCAAATGAAAGGGACACTAGGAAGGGATGATCAACTGTTTGTTCAAAGAGTCGCGGGCAGTTCGTACCTTTGAGGAGATGGAGATATGACTTCTGGCATGTAGAAATCATCCTGACCCCCTGGATACCATGTCGCACCCAGCCGTGGCTGACCACGACCTTGGGGTGGTGGCCTATTCATCGCGGCCAGTGTGTTTCTCCGGTCTTGGAACTATTGCTTTTTCTTTTCTTGGTTTGGCTGATTGTGATTGTTTCTTCTCTGCCCCTGACAATCAAATGGTTTCAGACTAAAAGCCCTTACTATGTGGCAAAGACTTCGGGTCTGATGATCCAGAAGATGTTAATAAGTCGAAAGCTAAGGGTGATGGGGGGCGGGGGGAGGGAGAGGGGTGGTTAAGGGAGTAGGGAGGAAAGGAAGAAAGAAGACTCGGGCTGAGCGTAAACAGAAAGCGGAATGGAGGTTACCGAGTAGTAACGATGATTATTACAATGTACGCTCACCTTTGGGACTAGTACACAGTGCGTAGTTTAGTTACCTACTCCTGCTAGACTCACTAACTACTTATTAATCTACTTTACCTACTTAGACTTAGGGAGGGGAGGGCGACGAGGGGCCGGGAAAAAACATTGGGGGGTAGGGAACAATCATCGATAATAATCCACCGAGTAGGTTATGTTACTGCTGAGCAACAAACAGTACAAGAGAGAAGGTGGGGACAGAAGGGGGGTACTGCACAAACTACAAAGCCAGCAAGCCAGCAAGCCAGCAAAGGCTTCGTCACCCTGGATGATTTACTACATTGAAGGTAGTAGTTGTTTGATGTGGTTATGGTTAAGTACTGTACGCTATATACTTAAGAAGTAATGTACTATACTGTACGGAATATATTCATACCCAACGTCCAAGTACATGTCAACTGATTTTCAGGGCCCGAATCTGCTGAACATCAAACAAGTGAAGTAGTCTCTCTGACAGGGGCCAGGGGCAATTTCGAGAAGTGGGGTTTCATCTGGCATGTTAATAAATTTGGTATCTGACTAAATACATAGGTAGTCGGTTGGCTTAGAGGTACAGTACAGTACGAAATACAGATTACACATACTCAGTAGATACAGTATCAAAATTACAAGGACTGTACTGTTCGAGAAGCTCCCTTACATAATATATATCTTTTCTTCATGACCGAAATATCAGATGCACAATCAGAGTACTACGGAGAAACTATACTACATACTTATATGTACAGTAGTTACAATATACTCTACCTAAGGTCAATCCACCTTCCCATCATCATACATATCCAACATATCGCTGAAGCTACTATCTAGTGCAAGATGCTGGCCATTTGTCAAGTAGGAGCAAGCATGAAGCTCTAAATAGGCAGGCACATGTAATCCTGATCGAAAGTAACTTGGCCAGGATAATGGCCGGCTGTAATGGTAAAGCTACCGCAGCTAAACCTTATAAAGTAGACGGTAATTGTTATATACTCTTTATACTCTGCATAACGTTACTTTAATCCAGAATAATATACTCTAATAATGATATAGACTCTAATAATTCTAATAGAAAGAAAAAAAAAAGACTTTCTAATAAAGAACTCTAACAGCAATATCTTCTGCTCCTAAATACCCTAAGAATCCCTAACGTAATTCCTAATATAAGAAGATTCTTATTATAAGGACTTGTATTTTTGAATACATGCCGATGGCAATAGAAATTCGACCGGTGTCAA